TAAAAATTATAATGAAAGCAATTAGCGCGAAACTTTACTGAGATTCTCGATATATCATATTATATATCCCTCAATTATATTATGTAATTTTAACTCCCTCCACAAATTCGGCCATCATAGTAAAAATTATAATAAATGCAATTGGCGCGAAACTCTACCGAGCTTCACGACTTATCAAATTATATATCCCTCAATCATAATAATGTCATTTTAATCCCCTCCGCAAATTCGGCCATTATAATTAAAAATTATAATAAATGCATTTGGCGCGAAAATCTACCTAATTTCACGATATATCAAATTATATATCCCTTAATCCTAATAGTGTCATTTTAACACTCTCCACAAATTCGGCCATTATAATAAAAAATATAATAAATGCATTTGGCGCGAAACTCTACCGAGTTTTACGATTTATCATAATGACAAGGCGCGCTTCTATTATTACATTCGCGTTTAATAATGATTCGTGGAAACAATTTGACGTACAGCAGGTTCGACGTTTAAACTCGATATCCTCTTTCGGAGTGCAATAAACCGAGTTCCATTGCGCCATTAAACTCGGGCAGGATTTAATATGGGTCAACATCCAGGCAGGACTTTTTATCACCATTTCTGTACGATCTCTCATTCCGCGTTGCGTGATATGCAGGAAAGGTGAGCGGACAACAATGGCCCCGTTTTATAGCGAAAATGGAATTAGCGAGGTCGCCTCTGGTAGAACTTTTCTTCCAGGTTGCAAAATTACTTACTTAAGGTAATGTGAAGGTTTCATGTAGACTAAAAGAAGGAAAGAAAATGTAATTGTGATATCGAAGTGTCATGTAGACTGTAAAAGACTTCAATGTAAATATAATTGTGATATGAAAGAGTCATGTAGACTGTAAAAGACTTTAATGTAAATATAAGTGTGACATGAAAGTGTCATATAGACTGTAAAAGACTTTAATGTAAATATAAGTGTGATATGAAAGAGTCATATAGACTGTAAAAGACTTTAATGTAAATATAAATGTGATATGAAAGTGCAATATGGGCTAAAGTGTCATATAGACTGTAAAAGACTTCAACGTAAATATAAATGTGATATGAAAGTGTCATATAGACTGTAAAAGACTTTAATGTAAATATAAATGTGATATGAAAGTGTCATGTAGACTGTAAAAGACTTCAATGTAAATATAAATGTGATATGAAAGTGTCATGTAGACTGTAAAAGACTTTAATGTAAATATAAGTGTGATATGGAAGTGTCATATAGACTGTAAAAGACTTTAATGTAAATATAAGTGTGATATGAAAGTGTCATATAGACTGTAAAAGACTTTAATGTAAATATAAATGTGATATGAAAGTGTCATGTAGACTGTAAAAGACTTCAATGTAAATATAAATGTGATATGAAAGTGTCATGTAGACTGTAAAAGACTTCAACATAAATATAAATGTGATATCGAAATTTCATATAGACTGTAAAAGACTTCAACGTAAATATAAATGTGATATGAAAATGTCATATAGACGGTAAAAGACTTCAACATAAATATAAATGTGACATAAAAATTTCATATAGATTAAAAGACTTCAACATAAATATAAATGTCATACAAAGTGTCATATAGACTGTTAAAAGACCAACATAAATATAAATGTAATATCGAAATTTCATACAGACCAAAAGACTTCAACATAAATATAAATGTCGGTAACGTTACTCGCCAGGTTATGTTACCATTTAAGTATTCAAAAAGACATGCCCACCAAAAAGGGTATAGATGAATGTTAATTAATCCGCATCGATTAAATTTCTTCTCCACCTTGTTGGACTTATTCCTTGCTGTCTCTTAACCATACATCCAATCTCTATGGCGACAATTGATCCAAAGTCTGTTTCATCCCTCGGGGATGAAACTTCATCAAAGAAGCTCTTTCGCAACTTAACTTCGAGTTTCATCTTAAAGATTCTGTCTCGCGAGTGTAGGTGTATAGTGGCCTCAGAACTTTGACAAAATCATAGAAGTTTCCCACGGAAACGTGAGGTGGCTTTTAACCTTCCCCAACATGGTTCCCAGAATGAAACTCGATGAAATTTAACCTATAAGACACTTAGAAGAAAAGATTGTCTATATCAATGAAATTATTCCTTTGAATGGAGTTAAAGAAATAGCCATACTAAATATTATTCAGTCAGATGGGAAAATATGGAAAATACTTTCACCAACGATTGTCCTGTGTCCTTCGAGCGAAGATTTAGTTCCAGGTAAACGTCATAGATGGCGCCGCTGGTCCTTAACAGTCGTTAGAATAATGAATTCCCGGGATTTCGACAGTTTTACGTCGATCTCTTCGTCATTACTTTCCCGAAATGACATAAGGAACGCTTCAGTTNTTATTATAAAAATCGAATTTTCGCCAATCTTCGAACGGTTGTTTCCCCCTTAAATGTAGACCATTGCGGATAAAAAAAAGACACGTGTCTCTTAGATTTTTGCGTTCTTCAACAAATATGAAAATCAATAAGATCGACGGCGGACTTCAGAGTGTTTCCTTCTAACTTTAATTTCAACATGTACTCACTTGTTAATTTTCCGAATAGTTTGCTTCAGTGCCGGAAAATCCGGCCTATCAGCGGCGTCCTGAGCCCAACACCTCCTCATCAACGCGGCCACCTGCAATAACAATTAATTCCCTTAAAAACATCCCAAGTCATATTCAAAACCATTACAATAATTAGTGCAAAGGAGCCGTATCATATTCCCGAATTGAAATGACGTACCTCTTCCTCGACGGCAGCCTCGTCGATCAAAGGCCTCAACGGCGATCCTCCGCCTCTCTTGACACCCTCCACTATTTCTGGAACAGAAATTTAACGAGCGTTACATATGCAAATTACCCTAGAGAAACTACATTCTATCGTTACTAAAGGTGGCCCCACACGTGAGGATAAATCCGACCGATAAGCTGAAGATTTTTCCCGAATTTAAGGTGATATGAAAGTGTGATATATATTATCCCGCCACACATCCTGAATTGCGCACCACACAGTGTGTTCACACTTTAAGGCGTTAACCAGGGAGTCTCCGGATGTCAGGGATAGGGAGAGGACTTTATGANCTTCAGTATTCAAAATGACGTTCCCACCAAAAAGGGTATAGATGAACTTTATTAATTATTAATCGACCTGAGTTAAATTTCTAGGCGCCTTTCATATCACCTTATGGGGCACTTCGGGAACATTTTCTTTTTAACGCTGGAAGGGTCAGATTGTATTGTGTAGCCATTTTGCTTTCGCTACTCTCGTTTCCTGCAGGAAGTTCAGGAAGACCGACGAATAACCATCCCAGCACTTAGCTGATCGTTTTATTGCGCCAGTTGGTACTTTCTGCTCGTATTTAAGCTCCAAGAAGTTTCAGTAAACCTGCACTCCACTGGCAGCTTCCTGAGCACAAACCTACTTTTTATCCTTGCCCGTCGATCCGATCCAGAGGTTCTTAAGATGGTATGAAAGGCGTTGAGAAATATAATCGACGTCGATAAAGTAAAATTCATCTATACCCTTTTTGGTGGGAACGTCATTTTGAATACTCAAGGGGGAACATAACCTGGCGCGTCCCATTACCGACATTTATATTTATGTTGAAGTCTTTTATGGTCTACGTTGAGAGTTATACGAATTGAAGCGTTCCTTATATCATTTCGGGAAAGTAATGATGAAGAGATCGATGTAAAACTGTCGAAATCCCGGGAATTCTTTATTTTAGCGACTCTCCAGGACCAGCGGCGCCATCTGTGACGTTAAGCTGGAACTAAATTTTTCCACTGAAAACACGTGCTAGCCACAGGACAAGCCAGCGTTCTCTTGCAATCATTGATTAAAGTATTTATTATATTAAAATGTATTAAAGTATATACCATCTCTTAAGATAGTATGAAAGGCGCTGAGAAATTTAATCGACGTCGATAAAGTAAAATTCATCTATACCTTTTTTGGTGGGAACGTCATTTTGAATATTCAAGGGGGAACATAACCTGGCGCGTCCCTTTACCGACATTTATATTTATGTTGAAGTCTTTTATAATCCGCGTTGATAATTATACGAACTGAAGCGTTCCTTATGTCATTTCGGAAAAGTAATGATAAAGAGATCGACATAAACTGCAAAAATGAAAATGCATTTAACCGAAGAAATATATTATTTAACTCTTTGGCTACTAAGAGCGCCTAAAGGCGTCCGACGTTTGGTCCAATATCGCTCGCACGGTCAGACGAATTTCGCCCATATGTCGAAACGGCTCAGTGTCCAAAGGGTTAATCGATGACTTGTATGCGATATGAAAAAGAAGAAACACCTCGAAATCGAGATTTAACGGAGGTTTTCCTCTACATTGCGAAAATAAAAATGCATTTAACCGAAGAAATGTATTATCTAACTCTTTGGCTACTAAGAGCGCCTAAAGACGTCCGACGTTTGGTCCAATATCGCCTGCCCGGTCAGACGAATTTCGCCCATATGTCGAAATGGCTCCGTGTCCAAAGAGTTAATCGATGACTTGTATGCGATATGAAAAAGAAGAAACTCCTCGAAATCGAGATTTAACGGAGGTTTTCCTCTACACTGCGAAAATAAAAATGCATTTAACCGAAGAAATATATTATTTAACCCTTTGACTACTAAAAGCGCCTAAAGGCGCCCGACGTTTGGTCCAATATCGCCTGCCCGGTCAGACGAATTTCGCCCATACGTCGAAAAAGCTCCGTGTTCAAAGGTTTAATGGCGACTTCTATGCAATACAGAAAAAGAAACACCTTGTAATCGAGATTTGACGAAGGTTTTCCCTTATACTACGAAAATAAAAATGCATTTAACCGAAGAAATATATTATTTAACTTTTTTGCTATTAAGACTGCCTAAAGACGTCCGATGTTTGGTCCAATATCGCCTGCACGGTCAGACGAATTTCACCCGTATGTCGAAATGGCTCCATTTTCAAAGGATTAAAGCATGTCGATTTGTACTTCCCTTAGAATTAAGTCTAGTGGAAGTTTATGAATTTTATGAATATTTTTAATGGGGTCCCAACTTCCGCCCCGGAAGTGGAAAAAGGATGAAAGGCGGGAGGAAACGGAATTGCCTGGCGAATGTAAGCACGTGACTTCCGCTTTATGTCGGCCGAGCTAACGTAATAGTTTACGAGGGATGCTGTTTTACTTTTATGGTGCCATGACTTTATGGGAATCCGATAGTCGACCGGCGAATGCGATAGGTCGAAAGCCTTCTGACTGGAAACGATTTCTTTCGTGTCAATCGATCAATCGCGATTCCATGATTGATGGGAAATTTTTTTCTTTACTCAAGTTTTTAATTTTTCAGAGATTTTCAGGTCGCGAAAATGAAAAAGGGCGGCTTAAAAGGCTCACTAACAATTATTTAGATATTGCAATTTTACATTGACATTTATATTATTAATATNAGAAACAATTACATTTCATTTATATTTACATTATTAGTATTTTACACTATTACAAATTTTATTTTGTTATTATGGCAGTAGGGTGGAAAAACAATTACATTACATTTACATTTACATTATTAGAAATTGTATTTTGACATTATGGGAATGGGGTGGAAAATCATTTTTACGATTTTCCTAGTGGAGTAATGTTCTTGTCACATGAGTTTGCTTACAATTATTTATGAATTGCATTTTCGTGCAACAAATTAAAAAAAGCGTGTACAGGCATTTGCGAATTGCGCAGTAAAGTCGTTATTGCAATAGGGTGAAAAATTATTTATTATGGAAATAGGGTGAAAAATTATTTATTATGGCAATAGGGTGGAAAATTATTTATTATGGCAATAGGGTGGACAATTATTTATTATGGCAAGAGGGTGGAAAATTATTTATTATGGCAATAGGATGGAAAATTATTCATTATAACAAAAGGGTGGAAAATCATTATTACAATTTTCCTAACAAAACGATATTCATATCACATAGGTTCACTAACAATTATTTAGAAATTGCATTTGCGTGCAACAAATTAAAAAAAGCGTGTACTGTCATTTGCGAATTGCACAATAGAGACATTACGTCGATAGGGTGGAAAAACGAGGCAGTGGGGAATAATTGAGGCACAGCCGTGTGAGTGGTGTTCCCTCTTCCTCTCCCATTTTCCCTCTTCCTTCCATCCTCCCATCTCTCTCTCTGGTCGATCCGCACCCGAAAACCAGGCCGGCCAATCCCCGACATTTTCATTCCTCGGATCGATCGCAATTAAATCGCTTTCGCACGTCTCTGATTAAGTGCCCCTCCAGAAGGCTATTTGCCGAACACGACTGATACGTTGAAAAAACGACCGTGGATGAAAAAACGTTAATTAATAATTAAACAAGGGATTAACTTTTACACCTCTCACCCTGTTTTGTCCTAGTGCCCTCTTCAAAACGTCAATTCCGTCACATTTTTTCCCTTATTCTTTTCTTTTTCTTCTCGTATATGTGTAATTTAATCGCATTTCGCTCTGTCTCGAACATTTCCTCTGTTTCCGGGTGTTGGAACATGTTCTCGGGGAATGTTCCACTGAAATCTCGTGGTCGGACCCCTAGATAACAGTTTTAGCCCCTGGCGGGGGTTTACCCTCCGTACATAGCTGACCACCTGGAAGTACACTTTCGGGGGCCGAAGGGGAACAAGCCAGCGTGTGGTCAGCCAACTACATACAGCGAAATTCTATGCTTCGCGAGTCTGAATTTGAACGTTTTGTGGCTTCAATTAATCTGGATGCTTCGTTTTATCCATGAATTGTGGTGCTTCATGAATGAATTTGATTGTTTTATATCATCAACAAATTTGGAGACTTTGTCTCATCAGCGATTTTAAAGTCTCCGTCACATCAACGATTTAGGGTGTTTCTTCTCATCAACAAATTTGGAGGCTTTGCTTCATCAGCAAAGTTAGAGGTTCCTTCACATCAACGATTTTGTATGTTTCATCTCATCAACAAATTTGGAGGCTTTGCTTCATCAGCGAAGTTAGAGGTTCCTTCACATCAATGAGTTTGTATGTTTCGTCTTATCAACAAATTTGAAAGCTTTATCTCATCAGTGAATTTAGAGGCTCCTTCACATCAACTGTTTAGGGTATTTCGTCTCATCAACAAATTTGGAGGCATTGTTTCATCAGTGAATTTAGAGGTTCCGTCGCATCAACGAATTGTGATGCTCCATCAACGAACTTAGAGACCGCGTCTCATCAAATTTAGACCCTCCATCGCATCAACGAATTGTGACGCTCCATCAACGAACTTAGAGACCGCGTCTCATCATCAAATTTAGACCCCCCATCGCATCAACGACCACAAACGCTCCGTCACATCAACAAATCTCCCTGCTCCGGCCCACCACACATCCTGAATTGCGCACCACACAGTGTGTTCACACTTTAAGGCGTTAACCAGGGAGTCTCCGGATGTCAGGGATAGGGAGAGGACTTTATGAATGCCAAACGAGCTGAAGAGGAGGAAGGGGGATGTTTTGCGGGGAGAAGAATGGATGAATTTATCCACGGACGGATCTTCTAGCTGGAGCACCGTAGACATATATTTCCGCAGTGTGTCAGAGTAGATGAACCGGATGCCCATCAGATCAACTATTTAGGGTATTTCGTCTCATCAACAAATTTGGGGCATTGTCTCATCATCAAATTTAGACCCCCCGTCGCATTAACGACCACAAACGCTCCGTCACATCAACAAATCTCCCTGCCCCGGCCCACCACACATCCTGAATTGCGCACCACACAGTGTGTTCACACTTTAAGGTGAAGTGAAACACGTCGAGGAACTTGATCAA